ACGCCCTACTCCTTAGAAAGAAGCTTTACTGAATATTCGTACTGGCTAGCAAGATAATTTATATAATATTCATACTGCTCAGCACCATGTCATATTGCTCAGCACTATGTCATACCGCTTAGAAAGACGATTTATTGAATATTCATACTGCTCAGCAGAATGATATTTTGAAAAGTCATGGTGCTCAGCACTATGAAGTTTACCAATTAATAACTAATTAATTAAATTTCTTTAAGAACTGGACCAAGATTCCTATCGGACTTTCTGTCTGGACCGAAAAATCACCGGAATTTTGGACCAGGCCGAAAAGTTTGGGACGAAAAATTCTTGGGCCGAAATTCCGGACTCCCGATTTAAACTACCATTGTTGGTCATATTTAAGTAAATATAATGATTTATTCAATGCCAAAACAAATAAAAGGCTGTTTTTTCAAAACTGGAAAACTCCTGAAAAAGACCATGATAGGAGGATCGAAATTAGCTTCGAAAGTCTTTTAAAAATTGGTCCTTTTCGAAAAAAAGCTATATATATTCTGGAAGAGAAGATTTCGCTGCATCTTCCTATGGTAAAAACTCATCTTCGAGCTTTTTCGAAAAGTTGGATGTTGTGAGCGAGGTCCCTTAATAAGTGTTATAAATATACATATGATCGAAATGTACTTTCCAAATTAAATAGGATTATGTGTGTTTTCAAAATGGCGAACATCTTGATAAAAAATTTCTATTTTTCTCATATACAGCTCTTTAAAGCGTTGATAGAATAGTGAATAATATTATTTAATTTAGCTAAACAATAATCATCAAATCGGTTACGTTTTAAAGTGACGTCAGATGAAATACTATCGTTAGATAAGGTAAACAGGTAATAGTAATAGATGACACTTGAGAAATTCAGATCAGTAAAGTGTAATTTTTTCAATTAAGTGCAACATATATTATTCGATAGAACTTGTCAATTTTGCATCAAACGAGCTATGTCTCATAAGTGGATCAAATCGCGCAGAGAAAATACGGACTTGAAACATAATTTTTGGTTTTCCCGGCATCGTCATGAGGAAAATTTTATTTTCACTTGAAGGAAACATATATTATTTGTTAGAGCTCCTCTAATTGCATCTGGTTCACTCTATGTCTTAGTTGATTCAGTAGATGAGGCAAATCATTTTTGAACAAAAGTCAAATTAGTTGCTAACTTTTTTGCGTCTAAAACTTTTATAATAAGAAGTACTGTTTTTCATTGTATTATGAAACATGATATTTAAAGAACAATCTTCTATTAATAGTTGCTTTAATCATAAATTGATGATAACTTTTTTGTTTTTTTGCATACTAGTTAAATTATGTTAATATGAATAAAACAATCAGTTCATGATCTCTGTTTATTCATGTTTTTGTGGATCAGGAAAACATTGTAAAAACAACTAGGGTTAAATAGAATAGCCCTGAGAGGTCGAATTTAGATTCTACTTTGTCTCCGAAATAGTTAAAAGAGTATTTAAAAATCGTTCGAAATACAAAATGAAGTTGTATTGATTATACAAAAGTCAATAAGTTAAAGAAACTTCAACCAATACGGTTACTTCTAACCGTATGTTAATCAACGATGGAATAATTTTTTTTTTCTTTTGTCCTCAAATATGCTTAGTGGTTCAATCTGAGAAAGAATTTCTACTCTATCAACAATCAGTCAACAGTCTGTTTGTGTAAATATTTGTTCTCAGCGTAGAAGTGAACAAAAACAAGAATTTCACAGTACTTTAAAAGCAAAGATTTTTTGAAACATATGATCATAAGTATTCGATAAATACTAACATTGAAATTATCTTGATTATTATTATTGAAAATCATTGTTTGATTTCGAATTTTTATCAAAGAAATTCTCTCGTTAGATATTTGATGTTTCTAATAAAAGTTAATCATAATTTGATTGAATACTATCATCGATTTCAATGTCAATAATATTCGTTTTGAAAATTTGCTTAAAATTTATTAGAATCAACAAAGAAAACGTTTTAATATAAAAATGAAATACATCGAATTCACATTTCTTATTTTACTCTTTCAATGCATGTATCAGTTTCATTTTACAGCAGACTTTTAATCGATCAAATCTTTTTCAATTAAACCAAATCGGCAGAAAAATCGGTACATTTCAACATATTAATTAAGCTATTAAATCTTTCTAGAAAAAAGTTGATTAGCATAACTTCACGAAGACATACCATGTGAAACTCATAGAACTAACTTCTATTTTTGTCTGTCAAGTTCCAAAGATGCTAATACTAAGTATGAAGGAAGAACTCTTTCAAAACTTTGCATCTATTAACTCACAACAACTGATATTGAACAACATCTATGCTTTGTTTTTCGTGATTTTCTTTAATAAACATAGAATTTTTTTACAAGAACTGATTATATTTCATGCTTTCTTAGTTGAAATCGTTATTTAGCACAATTAAAAGGTTTCAAAGTTCTTACAAGGCTACTACTGTTGATAAGAAGATAAAATGAGTTACAAAACTCGATATTTTTATATAAAAAAAAAATAAAATCTTTTCTGATATTTATGTACAGAAAGTATAAACCGAAACTATTAGTCATTGAGTTTCTCACAGTTGATTACAAGCAGCTTAACAAAAACCAGCCGGTATCAAAAGTTCAATCGAATTGTCCTAGTAACCGACTGCTTCAGTTCTAAGTCTGCTGTACAATTTTTGTAAACTAAATGAAAATATAAAAACTTGTATTTTTGATCAATTATTAAGAAGTTGCTGTTTTGTTTTTTTCAAATATATTATTTTTATTTTTTTTTAATGCAAACAAAACTTTGAAGGAAAAAATCATTGAATACTGAAAGGTAATAACAAAACGAAAACATGAAAAACGCAAACGCCGGTAGAGATGATCCAGTCTTTGACTTCAGTTTCTATTCATATACAATAATATGCCATCATTCATAACATTAAAAAAAACAAGAGGCAGAAATAAAGAATGAACTCTAAAGAAGAAAAAAAAAAGAAATTCATAAAACGTCTTGTTCATATACTTCTGAAACTAAATAGAATCACACAGCTAAGTTACGGTGAAAAAAAAACACATATAAATATACACATAGCGAGATCTTCTCACATCAATATCAGTATTTGCTCTACTCCGAGTATGAAAGCAAAAAAAAAAAAAAAAGAATAAAAAAAGAGAAGTGTTTTTTGTTTTTCATTTACAATCGTACAATGCGTTTTTCTGATGTTAAAAGTCCAACACGTACATAAACATCAGTACCAATTCCATACATTGTTTCAATTGTTAATGAACCATTTAAATATTCACAATAGGCACGTGATGTTGGCACACCAAAACCATATCTAAAATAAAATAAAATATCATTTTATTTTCAATTAATTAAAAAAAAGAATAAAAAGAATGAATTAATTATTTACCCGCTTATTTTATTAGTATTATCTCTCGTAACTAGTTGATCATATAAATGACTTTCAAAATCAGTATAAGAAAGTGACCCAGCATTATCTGCTGAATGACTCGATGAAAAATGATAATCAAATACTTTATCAAGTAATGATCGTGGCATACCACCACCACGGTCTTTTATTCTATAATAAAAGAATATTTATCATCAAGATTTTCATAAAAATTTCATACCGAAAAACAAGTTCATCTTCATTAACAGCAATTGTAACACCAACACTTGGCAAATCACTATTTGAATTTCTATGATGTTCGACAGTAGCTCTATAGAAAAAAAAAATGTCAATATATTCTTATTAACTGATGAACATAAGAAACAAGTAATCATTTTTGAAAATCAAAGTTGAATTCGATTCAAAATTCTTTAGCTTGCAAAGTATCCCAGCTGATTAATCATTTCTGAATCAAGACTATGTGCATTATGTAAACCCTAATGAGCAATTAATATCCTGAAAAAAAGTTTGAGCTCTTAGTTCATTGTTGCGAAGATATTGCGTTTTTACAATATTGTTTTGTAGAATGTCACGTTTCCTTCAAGAATACTATGACAATTAGTTTTCTAAATTTCGTATACACACCGGAAAATTCGATATTCTTATTCCAGGATAGGAGTAAATCAAAATATCGAAAACTTTCAAAATAAACTAATTTCGTTAAGATCTGCCTCTATTGAAAATTTCAAATCAAAAATCAGATTTTCTAGTAGTTTTGAGAAGTACCACAACATTAACTTAAAACCTATCGTCAAAACACCGTAGCAATAAGCTAACAGCTCGAATTCTTTTCAGAATATTCATAGTTAATTTTGATCTACATGATGCACACAGTCTTAACTCAAAAGAGATCAATTCATCGAATGATTTTCTTTGTTAGATTAATTCTATTAAAATTTCGAACTTTGAATAAGTTTTTTTGAGCCTAGTTAAATTTATTAAAGAAATCATTGAGCAAAAAACGATCACCTTGCTATAAATCGAATGTACACAAGTTATATAGACTAGCATTAGAGAGAAAAAAAATCGTAAAGATAAAAACTATAGATTAAGCCTGTACACATCATTCCAGAGTTAGATAATAAATCAAGAAGAATAGTTATTAATTATAAATCATTTTCGAGAATTTCATCTTTACTTTCAAAATCATTCTAAGCATACTTCCTGTATCAAAATTTCGATTTCATAACATATAATTATAATTTTGAATGTTCATTTATTTAAATTCTATAAACTAGAGATGTTAGTTAATATAGACATCGCCTTGTACTTCTAATGATAATCTATATTTGTCAATCAATGATTAAGCAATGTGAGTTAATGCAACATGTTTTGTTTTTTTTTTTATTTTGATGCAGATCAATCAATGATGCAACAAGAAGTTCTTTGAACTTCAGCTCGATATGCATAAAACTTACTGCGACCAATAACCAAATTTTTATAAAACACAACTTGAACAAACAAATTCAAAACTGCAGTATATAACAAAAGTGTTTTTTTTACAGTCCTTTATATTTCCTATTGAGAGAGACTGTTGACAATTTTTTTTGTATTGATTTTTAGTTTTACTCATTAGGTTAAAATAAAAACTTACCTAAATGCATTTTTCAACATCTCAGGTATAATATAATTTAATGGTGTAGCAATATATGGAAATGTACTATGTACATGACCATCAATTTTAACGTTAGGAGTAACACCATATTCCGAACGACATACTTTCCTATAAAAATAAAAGTAATATATTCGAATAAAATTTTGTTTTTTATTCTCACAAACTTACTTGACATATTCAGCTGCTGATTCAACGAGTTTTGTAGGTGAAAAACTCATACAAATAGCACCAATATAATTTGGCTATTTTACAATAAAAAAAAAAGAAGATTATTAAGTTTTGAATTTGTAAAATATTCTGTACTTTATCTTTGCGTAATGCAATATGATGTTCAATTAACATTTTAATAGCCAATCGAGAAGTCAAAGCACGATCAAGAAAATTGCGTACAAGAGTTTCTTGCTATAAAATTCAATAGAAAGTATTTAATTTAATAATAAGAAAACATGTTAAATGTTATGTTTTCTTTTTACTTTTATGTGTCTTTTTGATTCACGAAAACCTTCGGCTAATAATGGTAATGTATCGGAAGTACAACTAAGTGTATTTTTGAGTAGTTCAGTAAAATCTTTCTCTTGTTCACGGGTTTTAATCTTTGAAAAAAGAAAAATGCATAGAAATTTTTAAGATTAAAAAAATAAATCTTACTGGTGGAAATGTATGTAGTGTATGAAAGATTTTGATAAATCGCTCGTGCTAAAATAGAGATCAATCATTGGTAAAAATAAAAAAACAATACACATTAATGATTTAATTTATACCAATTCTAATAAAAGAGGATTGCAAGCAACAACAAATGGTAGATTTCGAAAATCATCTATTCGATGTGCAAAACGAATAGGTAAATCTCTATGAAGATATTGAGCTGATCTCTAAAATATAAAATAAATGATAAAAAAATTCAATTATTTCATTATTGAAACTTACTAAAAGATGAGTATCATCTTCTGTTTTCCCAATATACATCATTGTTAATGGTGTAAGGCGAGTTGATTGCTAAAAAATCAATAAGAATTTTAGTTAATAGAAAATAAAATCTATTCTACCTTGGCAGCGTATTGTTCAATAGCAGTTTGACAATAAAACGAAGTAACAGTGATATTAGCCAAATGTTTATCACGAATAACTTTTTCAACTATAGGTACATATCGAATATTTCCATTTTCATTTGTTGTTTGTGTTGTAGGTTTATTATCAAGGTTATTATTTAATGAATTCGTTGCATTATTTGTGTTTAGACGAACACATGGTCTTACTGACCATAATAATCGATTTAATTTAGTACTAAACATGATGTTTTTATCTTCTTTTTAAATAAATATCATGATCGATTTATTAACAACTTAAACAAGTCATTTCTTCATGATATTCTTAGAGAAAAAATGACGAATAAACATAGGAAACTAATATCCGGAATGATAGAAAGTTCAAATTCAACATCGCATAAAACACGCACTGCAAGCGTGATATACACAAACAGGCGTTGTAATTACAGTGACGACAGCCACTGTCAATAGCTTCTTGTTTACATCTGATTGGTTATTAAATAAACCAATGAAATATGTTACAACGGAAGTGTTTATTATGCACGGTATGAGCAATAATATAACTGTGAAATAACATGTTTAAATATAAACTGTTGTGAAAATTAAAATTTTCTTTCTCTTTAGATTTTTTTTTAGTTTCATTTTAAAGAATAAATTGAACTATGGCTGATAATGACAAAACTAATATTTTTCGAGGACAAAGAAATGTTTCAAATTTGCCGTCATCTTCATCAACTGTAACAAATAATCAGGAACAATTGAAGGTATGTAATTGAGTTTTGTTTCAATTTTATTGTAAATCCCGAACTTTGTGAGGTGAGTGGGAGGGGTGAGAATGTCTTTTTCTTTGTTACAAGAGTTCTCGTCTTTTTCCTACATTCAATTTTGGTCAAATAAATGAAACCCTAAAAAATATATCTAATACTCATAATAATATTAAACCATCGGTTGATATTAATAATAATAATGATATTGAATATGATGATAAACCAGAAACATCTATAAGTATGGACAAATTGTCATTACTAAACAAACATACACATTTACGTGATATAAATTATTCATTGATATTGGAAGATGATGGAACAAATCCACAATCACCATTACATTCTGTTAAAACATTTGAAGAATTAAAATTAGAACCACAATTATTAAATGGTATTTATTATATGGGTTTTCGACGTCCATCACGTATTCAAGAACGTGCATTACCACAATTACTTGCTTATCCACCACGAAATATGATTGCACAATCACAAAATGGAACTGGAAAAACAGTAAATTCAAAAACGAGAAAAAAAAAATTTATTTAATAAAAAAAAATATTCATTGAAATATTTAGGCAGCATTTTCTTTGGCAACACTTAGTCGTATGGATCCAAATTTAAATTATGTTCAAGCACTTATTTTATCACCAACATTTGAACTTGCTTTACAAATTGGACAAGTTATTGAAAATATGGCAAAATTTTTACCACATATTAAAATAGCATATGCTGTGCGTGATCCAACAATATCAAAACGAAATGAATACACTAAAGGAAAAGAATTAAATGTTCCTATTGTTATTGGTACACCTGGTACTGTTGAAGATTGGTGTAGAAAAATGAAAATAATTGATTTAAAAAAATTACGTATGTTTGTTATTGATGAAGCTGATGTTATGATTAGTTTACCGGGTTTTTCACAAATTTGTATTGATCTTGTCAAAAACACTATTGGAAAAGATTGTCAAACAATGCTTTTTTCAGCAACATATTCAGATGAGGTTTGGTTGAGAAAAAAAAATATTTCGAATTTTTCACGGAGATATTTTTCTGTTTGATTAGGTTATGGATTTTGCTAAACGAATCATTGAAAATCCAGGTAATTATTTTCTAGATTTTAATTTAATAAAGAAACTTATCAAACTGTCGAATACCATTCTATTCTATATTTTAAGAGAATCCCAAAACAATTCGGGCGCTTGCGTTTACTTAGCTAGAATTACGATCGTTTTAGTCGGTTTTCGATTGTCTTGGTTAGCTATTCATGGAAAACTCAATTATGAGATTTTCACCTGAAATTTTATCCATAGACAGATCTCATAACTAGTAGAATATCGTGACAATTTCAGTGCAAATAAATATATTCTTATTGAGATATTGAGTATCCAACAAATGGTTATATATTACGAGACAAACCATATAGAATCGAGTTGTCTTACACACTTGATGATATATCAAGAAAAGTATATTCGTCATTTGAACTAAACAGTTTAAGACAGGTTCAGAGGTCGAAAAATTACTAAAACAATCATAATGCATGGATCTGAACCGACTTGGTATTTTTTTTTTTTGAGTTTCACTGAGTCTTACTCATTGCAAAAATATCGGATCGAACGATGTTCAATATCTAGACTCGTTCCATTTAATGATAGCATTAAATTCAAAGAATAGAAATTTTAAGTCACTAAAACAAACAAGATTTTTTATAAATATTTCGTAGCTCTCATATTTTCTTTACTCAGTTTTATATTGCAATAAATACATGAAACTACACTCTAATAAGGGAATACCGTGCATTTAAGATGAGATTTCAGTCATTATGTAGAACCTATTGAAACTAGAAAAAACCTAAAAGGATTCTTTCGCATGCACTACCTCTTTGAATTTTTGGTCCCAAAACTTTGTCCATAGACAGCTCTGGAAGTCATTAGAATCTTCTAAAAGTTTCAGCTAAAAGGAACGGTTAGAACTTCAAAAAAGTGGCCCATGAGGAAAGAATCTTTCTAGGTTTCTTCTAATCTTAACAGATCTTACGTAATGACTAGGAGTCTCATCTCAAAGGCGAGATATTAAGTCGAGTGATTCTCTCTGAAGATCATCTAATTTTCTTTATATTCAATTATATCTATTAGTTCTTTTTATTTTTGTTTAGTTGTATTTCGATTAAAACGTGAAGAACAATCATTATCAAATATTCGTAAGTATTCGTACATATTTTCATTATTATTGATAACTTATTTTGTTTTCTGATTAACTAGGTCAATTTTATATTGAATGTAATAATGATGAAGAAAAATATGATGCTGTTAAAACAATTTATTCATCAATAACAATCGGTCAAGCAATGATTTTTTGTCGTTATAAACGTACAGCTCATGCACTTGCATTACGAATGATAAATGATAAACATTGTGTTGAATTACTTTCATCCGAATTAACTGTTGAACAACGTGCTGCTATAATAAATCGTTTTCGTAATGGAAAATTTCGTGTTTTAGTTGTAACAAATGTTTGTGCACGTGGTATTGATATTGATGATATATCATTAGTAATTAATTTTGAATTTCCACTTGTTTATGATGATAAAAAACATTGTTTTATTGATAAACCTGATTATGATACATATTTACATCGTATTGGACGTGCTGGACGTTTTGGTCGTATTGGTCATACGTATGTTTCAATAGAGATTAATAGTCTTTTTTAATTATTTTGTTTATTTTTTTTTGTATAGATTTAATTTAATAACACCATCGGAAAAACATTTACTTAAACAAATTGAAAATTATTTTCAAAAACCAATTGTGAAATTTTCCGAAAAATTTATTGCTGATGATGAACTTTATAACATATAGATATATATGTTGATAAATCTCGTTCTTTTTTTTTGTCGGTTTTGTTTTCCCTGTGAAATGTGATATTTTTTTGTGATTAGAAGTTTTGAAAGAACAGATAGTTATTATAGATTTTTGAACAGAAGAAAAAGTCAGATTTTTTTTTGATTTAGTCTGAAACAATGGCATCAGCAACAACAAATGATAATTCAAATTCATTATCACAAACAGCTCAATTTCCTTTTCCTGCATCGAAACCAGGATTCACATCATCATTAGCTTCACTTGCAAATGCTACAGAACCAAATAGTTCTTCATCAAATCAACAACCATCAGTTGCTACTTTTCCTCAAAGAATAATAGGAGCATCACCAACAGTATGTTTTCATTAATGTCTCTATATTTCTATATTGTACGTTTGTTCACATTACCGCTGTGGCCATAAGTATCAGGAGTATATTGCCCATTGGGAAACAACTATTGATCAAAGGATAGCTAACCGTGCAGGGGTTACCCATTTCTTGATCCAAAATTTTTGCTTTTTTTGTGATAATCGTATAGTATAAAGGTAGCATCATCTATCTACTCAGTACATTGAGATTTTAAAATTGTCTTTAAAAGGTAAAAGATTAGATATACGTAATAGAAATGGCGATTTGGGTTTTTTAGGATATCTTCGATATTTTGGGTTCTTTTATTCGAAGGTCAAAAAATAAAAAGGTACTCACCTCAAGCAATGTCTAGCATCTGTAAAAAAATGTTCAGCTCGATCGAATACTACCTACATCTTGAAGAAATGAAAGGCCGAACTACTTTGAATCTATGGCAACTTTTACTCTACATGCCGTGATAATTTTAATTTTTTCTGATGAGTTGCTCTCTGAAAAGTGGCGCGAGTACCCTTAAGTACTGTCGGGATACCGAACAGTCTACCGACGGTTTTTGTCCAGTTTGTATCGCATACATTTCACTTCGTGAGTTTTAAAAATGAAATTTTTAAAAGATTTTTATGTATACTTTAGACTAATAAAGAATCTCCATTTGGTACTTCATTCACACAATCATTTGCAACTGAGCCGAATACAGGATTTTCATTTACAAAACCATTACCAACAAATTTTTCTGGTGTTTCTTTTCCAAATACAACACCAGGAAATGTTTCTACATTTAATTTTACAAATTCATCATCAGAAAATCCTTTTGCTGTTACATCGAATCAATCAACAACTAATTCACAAGTTCAACAACCAATACAATCATATATATTTACACCATCTAAACAACAACAACAACAACAACAACAACAACAACAAGATGTATCAAATAATAAGCCACAAGCTCCATTATTAGTAACATTGAATAAAAATTCAAACCAAAGATCAATAATAAATGAAGCAGCAGAAACTACACGAAATAATATGTCTACTTTTTCAAGAAAATCATCTGATCCTTTAACACCTATTTCACAACAATCAAGTTTACCAAATCAAGAACAAGAAGTGTCTGATCTTCCAGCTTCATTAGCTGATATATCATTATTAGAAAAAAAAATTAATACAAAATTACGAGATTCAAATGCATTGACTATTGATCGTAGTGATCCAACATCACCATTATTTTCATTAAAATCATTTCAAGAACTCAATTTAAAACCTGACTTATTAAAAGGTAATTTTTGTAAATAATTCAACATAAGATAAATAAAATTCATCATTTTATTCCTCAAAAAAAAAATATTATTGTGTATATTTATCCTATAGAAAATAAGAGTTTCCTATGAAAAAAGGTTTCTCTTCCTCCTCATAATATTCGACATATCTGCTACTAGTTCTAAACGAATATTAATATGTCGTTGTCATATAGTTGCCACATTCTGTTTTTCATTTATGTATTAAATCGGAAATGTTAAAAAAAAAACAATTGTCTTTTTCTTTATAAATAGATATTCGAATGACATTTGAAATTCGGTATACTTAGTTTCATTCTTCATGTAAACATGAGAAGTTAACAACTATTTCTTAACTATTGCATATGAATAAACTCCTTTTCTATTGTATCACAATCAGCTTGTCGCATTCTATGGGTTAACATGATCTATGTTACTTTTAATGACGAGACAGCAGAAACTTTTTTCATTTATAAAATATTTGTACTTTTTGTTTTTTCCATAGGTGTTTACAGTATGGGTTTTCAAGCTCCAAGTAAAATTCAAGAAATTGCTCTGCCACATTTATTAAACAATCCACCAAGTACAGTATATTTATCATGTTTAATTATATTGTCTACATAATTATATTTTCTAGAAAATATAATAGCACAATCACAATCTGGTACAGGCAAAACAGCTGCTTTTTCATTAGCAATTCTATCACGTATTGATCCATCGATTCCATCAGTACAAGCGCTAATTCTTGCACCAACATTTGAATTAGCTATACAAATTGGTTCAGCTATTGAAAAAATGGCAAAATATTTACCATATATGAAAATTGCTTATGCTGTACGTAATGCCGCAACACAAACAGCAACTACTTTTGTGCGAGGTCAACTTTTAAACGAACCAATTGTTATTGGTACACCAGGTACAGTTGAAGATTGGTGTCGTCGACGACGTGTTATAGATTTAAGTAAATTACGTATATGTTGTGTTGATGAAGCTGATGTTATGATAGCAACTGAAGGCTTTCAAAAAACATGTGTTGATCTTGTGCGAAGTCTTAATCCTTCCGTTTGTCAAATGATGTTATTTTCAGCTACATATTCTGATGAAGTTATGACATTTGCACGTGAAATTGTTAAGGATCCAGTTGTTTTAAGATTAAAACGTGAAAAACAAACATTAAATAATATAAGACAATTTTTTATACGTTGCTATGATTCTGAACACAAATATCATGCTATTGAACAAATTTATGCTCATTTAATACTTGGACAAGCAATGATTTTTTGTCGAACAAAAGCAACAGCACGTGAATTAGCTGTTCGAATGGCAAATCAACAACATTCAGTACGAGAATTAACAGCAGCTTTAGATATTGATCAACGTGCATCTGTTATTCGTCAATTTCGTGAACGTGTATTTAATGTACTTATATCAACAAATGTTACAGCTCGTGGTAAGTTGAATTAAACAAATAGATTCTTATCGGATTCAAATCTTTTTTTTCATAGTTTTATTTTCTTAATCATAAATATTATCTCTATCATGCGCTTTTTTTCTCAGCTTTGTTCCGAGGTCGCTAGGATTTTCGAGATAGAATCTGTATAGTTCGGGTCCGAAAATGTTGGATCCAATGAACTCTAGTAATCTGACAAAAAATGTAGGGTGTGGCAGTCACTGAATACAAAAAGTCGGAAAATATTATTTCGTACTTTATGGACGATTATCCAATTTCGATTAGAAAGTTTCATTGAAAGTAAGCTTCGATTGAGTTCGAAAAACTTCAATCAACTAGATCTTTTATCTATATTTTGATTTTTCCTATAATAAAAAATATTAGAATAAAATGATTGAATTCTTTTCAGGTATTGATATTGATGATGTTTCATTAGTTGTTAATTATGATATGCCAGTTACTATGGATTTTAAACCAGATTATGAAACATATCTTCATCGTATTGGTCGTTGTGGTCGTTTCGGTAAATTAGGTATGTTAAATAATTCTTTTGATATTTGTTAAATATTGAGTTTTGTTGTTTATTTTCAGGTTATACATTTAATTTAATTGGTTCAGAAAAAGATTTTAATACAATGAAATCAATTGAAGAATATTTCCAACGTCCTATTGTTGAAATAACTATTGAAGATATAAGCAATCTTGAACAAGATCAAGAATGAAATTTATTTTCATAAATTTGTATGATTTAATAAAGTCTTTGTTTTTCTTTGTCTATTATCAAGCAAGATATTCTGTTTGAATCTTTCTGTCATTTTTTTTGTTCGTTGGTTCCTCTTTATGTGTGATACATTATCAAAAATAAAAAATAAAAATTGAAAATAATTGATTTTTATATTTCAATAGGAAAATGTATTTTAGGTGAATGATTTGATTTTGAATTATGAATTAACGGCAATTTAAATCGAGCATTATCTGTTCGAGGCCAATCATTACTTTTTTCATAATCATCACGAATAAGTGATTCAGTTGTATTCATAAAATGTTGTTTTCGTAAATTTTCTAAACGTTTTTTTTGTTTTAATTCTTCAATATATTGTTGAGTACGTTGTTCAAATAGAAATTCATATGATCGTCTATATTGAAGAGCATTATGTAATGGTTCAACTGAATATTCTTTTATTGTCCAATATCTTGTTGCTAATTTATAATAAAATTGATGATTACTTGAATCTTCTATTGGTTTATATTTATATGATACAATTAAACCAAGATCATTTTTAGCATGTTGTTCACAACGACGTTCAGCAAAATATAATTTATAATCAATAAGACGAATATGTCGTTGATAAACTGAAAATTTTTCTTTAAGCAGTTCATCTTCTTGTTTATTATGTCGATGTGCTAAAATATGATTATCAAACGATCGACGTAATAATTGTTCTCGAACATTTTTCATATTGATTATTGTAAAAAAATAAATAATATTAATAAAA